AAAAAAAAAAAAAAAAAAAAAAGAACTGTAGCCAAATTATATATATGCATTATTAATAAGAAGGTCATTTCTCTTAAAGTCTTTTTTTGAAACAGAGTCTCACTATGTCACCCTTGGTAGAATGCTCTGGCATCATAGCTCACAGCAACCTCAGCCTCTTGGGCTTAAGCGATGCTCTTGCCTCAGTCTCCCAAGTAGCTGTGACTACAGACACCTGCCACAATGCCTGGCTATTTTTTGTTGCAGTTGTTGTTATTTAGCAGGCCCAGGTTGGGTTTGAACCCACCACCCTCAGTGTTTGTGGCTGGTGCCATAACCGTTGTGCTATGGGCGCCAAGCCCATTTCTCCCAAATTCTTGCTATCAAATTTAGTGTATGCAATTCAGTTTGAGGTAACTTTAAGGAAGCTTTGATTTCATTTCTTAAGATAAAGATTATTTTTAGTGTTTATGTCAATAACTTTTTTTTAAAGACAGAGTCTCACTTTGTCACCCTCAGTAGAGTGCCATGGCATCATAGCTCACAGCAACTTCCAACTCTTGGGCTCAAGCAATTCTCTTGCCTCAGCCTCCCAAGTAGCTGGGACTACAGGCACCTGCCACAATGCCAGGCAATTTTTTTTAGAGATGGAGGTCTTGCTCTTGCTCAGGCTGGTCTTGAACCTGTGAGCTCAGGGCAATCCACCCGCCTTGGCCTCCCAGAGTGCTGGGATTACAAGCGTAAGCCACTGCACCCAGCCTATGTCAATAACTTCTTATGGTAGGGAATTCAGCTAATAGTAAATGGCTGAATCCAAATCTCATTTTAATTTTTATTCTTTTCTGTCGCAACCCGTCAGGCTCCTGTGGCCCTGGTCTTGGTTAGCGCAGGAAGGAACCAGGCGAGAAGTGGATTAGAAGTACAAGCTTGTGGAAGGCAGGCTAGCCCTTACTTTCCAGGTAGCCCCGAGCAACCTCCGCACCAGCCTTTTATTGAAAGGGAATGATACAGGTGAGGGGAGTAATTAACAATGACTACGGGCTGAGGGCACGGGTTCCTCTTCCACAAGGAACTCCTGTGGAGGAATGGCCCGAGGTCCACGCCTCAGCTGCAGATCATCTTGCTTGGATGTTGGCGTCTTCTACACCTTTCAATATTATATGAGTAGATAAATACATTTACAGATATTTAAATATGCAAACATCATTGCCACATATTAATATGTACAAAGCTTCATTTTAAAAAGTATATTCACATTAAATTAATCAAATTTATAATGTATCTAACATGAGCCAACATGGTCATGTTCACCTAAAAAAATGAATAATAGTTCTTACCTTCAAATAATTTTTTTAAAAGATGGGGTCTTCCTGTTGCCTAGATTTGAGTCAGTGGTGTAATCGTAGCTCACTGTAGCTTCAAACTCCTGGGCTCAAGCAATCCTCCTGCCCTACTGCCTCAGTCTCCCAAGTAGCTGGGATTGCAGGTGCATACTACTACGCCTGGCTAATTTTTCTTTTTTTTTTTTTAGAAATGGGATCTTGTTATGTTGCCCAGGCTGGTGTCAAACTCCTGGCCTCAAGTGATCCTCCCACCTGGGCCTCCCAAAGTGCCAGGATTACAAGCATGGGCGACAGCACCCAGCCCTAACAATCTTTTCCTTCACTTCATTAGCAGAGGCTAGAAGAAAACTGAGGTAAAAACAAAACACAGTTGGAAAAGAGAATAGTAAAGATTGAGGAGAAAAGCAGGAAAGGTCAGTAAAAGGGAATCTAAATCAGCAAAGACATGTCTGATGTTCATTTTTTTTAGATGTCTTTATTGAACCCCATTGTTTTAGGGTTTGGTGTGTTCCTGATGAATACCTCTGCTGAAAACTGAAGCCTCTGGTGCAGTCAGCCAGCCCTGCTGCTCCGTGGGCACCTGTCAGTGTGCAGCGTGACAGGGGAGGCCACGGTGAGATTCCTATCAGGACAGATGAGCAAGAGTCTGCTCCAGCCTGAATTCATCTCCGCAGTCACTCTGTGTTCTCAGACCCTCTCCAGGTACAGATCCTTGCCAGAACTCCAAATCAGACTGGATTTCTCCCATTTCACAGGGGCAAGGCAGGTAGATGATGAATAGCTTGGGAATAGATTGTGAACTGACAAGGGGAGGAGCCTGATCACAGCACTGACAGTGAGGAGGGTCACAGGAGTTCACTTGAGACCCCTGCTGGCCCTGAACACCCCACTCTCTCCAGTGTGGCTGCACTAAACCTGCTCATGTAGTGCAGAACCTGAAGGAGGGTGGGATGGATATGGACTGATCAGGGAGGGCGATGAGTGCTGCCACAGTGACACCTGGTCTTCTGTCCCCACTGGGCTTTCAGGATTCCCAGTGCCTTCCACAATTTGCATAGTAAGATACTGAGTACTCCTCTAAGCAGGTGGTCAGGCCCTTTCCTATCGAACAAACCATTTCTAATACTCTAAGTTTTCTAAAAGGGAAAAATAGTGAATAGAAGTTACTGCATTTTTGTATTACTACAATGGTCTTTTCACGCATACTTAACTAAATTGAATAAATAATCTTGCACCTTCCAACTGAAATGGCTTCTTAGACCAACTATGAGCACAATCTGGTTTTCACAAAAAGAGAATACTGGTATATTACAAACCCAAATTTTATTTTTTTAAACCAGGAAGACTATATCAATAGGCATCAACTTTTCAGTTTGTAATGGATACATTACAGAAAATGCGTGCATTCTTTGACTATATAAACAATGACTTGCTCTCATATGTCTGTTTCCTTTTTCTAATAGTTCCTCTTGTACTGTTTAGTAGAAACTCACACTGAATAGATAAACTGTGTGTTTTATATAAGACTGATTATTTCATTCCACATTCACATTAGATAAATCTGAACATCTAACTATGCATTCATATGTAAGCTTTCCCAGAAATGACTTTTGTTATGTCTGAAATAATAAATATAGAATTGTTTCGTAGTATTTAAAACAATAGCCATCACTTTTACCAGCTCCCACTACTCGAGAGCCTAAGGCTGTGAGTCTGCTGGACTCTTATCATGATTTTCTTTTTCTCCAGAGACAGAATGCTTCAGAAACTGACCAGTAGCACCGATGTATAATCTTGATCTCATAGGCCATTTCTGAAAAAGAATATTTATTTTGTTATAATGTGAGAAAAATAAAAAGATATGAAAAATATTTAAACAAGAAGTCAAAGGTTAGCAAATATGATACATATATAGCATAGTTTGTAATGTGAAAAATTCTAAACAGCCCCATACAAATGCAATATTACACAGCTAATGAAGTATAAGGGACATGAAAAAATGTTTTATTAATGCTAACTGTAAAAAGCAAAAATATTTCCAGACTTTGATTATAACTATAGAAATAACACGGATGCATGTGGACAAGAATTGTAAGAAATCATGGAATGAATATAGCTGAAGAAAACTGTATCTATTCATAATGTTTTAATTTCAAACTAAAGCTATAACAAAATTAATCTTAAAACTAGATCATTGGCTTTAAAGGTATTTTTAAAAGTTCTATGTGCTAAGTATTAATGAATCTGTACTTGTCAAAGAACCAAGATGGCACGGTGTGGTAGTTTACATCTATAATCCTAGCACTTTGGGAGGCCATGGCAGGAGGATTGCTCAAGGCCAGCAGTTTGATACCAGCCTAGGAAACATAAGTGACTTTGCCTCTACAAAAAATTAAAAAATTAGCTAGGGGCTGGGAGTGGTGGCTTATGCCTGTAATTCTAGCACTGTGGGAGGCTTAGACAGGTGAACTGCTTACGCTCAGGAGTTCAAAAGTAGCCTGAAAAGAGTGAGACCCCATCTCTACTAAAAACAGAAAAACTAGCTGAGCATCACGGTGGGTGCCTGTAGTCCCAGCTACTTGGGAAGCTGAGGCAGGAGGATCACTTAAGCCCAAAAGTTTGAGGTTTTTGTGAGCTATAGATATCACAGCACTCTAGCCAGGGCAACTCACAGAATTAGACTCTGTATCAAAAAAATAAAAAAATAAAAAAATTAGCTAGGCATGGTGGCACATGCTTATAGTTTCAGCTACTCAGGCGGCTCAGGTAAAAGGTTTCTGTGAGCTATGAAGGTGCCACTGCACTCTGCGCTCCAAACTGGGTCACAGAGTAAAACTCTCAAAAAAAAAAAAAGCCATGATGAAAAGCAAAAATTCAACCATCTAAACATTTTCTCCAGCTAAAATAACATCTGGAAGTTATAAAATTAAAATATTTGGTGTTATGTAGATAGAACATCCAGATTAAGTGTCTGCATGTATTGATATCACACAGCTTTAACCTTTTGGTAATTATTATATTTGAATTACTGATAGGAATTTTCTCAATTCATCTTTATGATGGACAACTTCCCTCTCAAACAATATAATTTATTGCCACACAGGCATAGTGATGAAAAAACATATGAGTATTACTTTTAGAATAGAACTCTTTTTGGGGGAGAGGGAATCATATAAACAGGTTCTAAGGTCCTTGGAATACTAATCATTTAGATATATTTAGATACATTTTTTTGAAATACAAAGATAAGACTAAAAAAGTGCAACTCCCAAAAAGGTGTGCAGTGTAGTCCCATACGAATGCTGCCACAATCAGGCTAGCCATCTTCATCAGTGAACACCACACACAAGCAGGCTGCTGATTGCATAGCACCACGAAATGTTTTTAAATGCTTGGCAGACAATCTCCAGTGCTCAAATAGAGGTATAATTTATTAATGTGTTCTTGTTCCCAATCCAGAACATGATAGCTCTGGGTTTTCCACCCAACTTGCATATTAAAATCACCCAGAGACCTTTAAACAAATACTGATGGCCAAGTCATACCCTAGACCAATTAAATCAGAATGGACTATTAACTTTTATTATAGGAGTAATGGAGTGTAAGGTAGAGTCAGATCTTAGCTGGAATATAAACTCTCATTGTACTTTTGAGCACAGTTAGTTTCATCTAGACTGGGATTCCAAATGTAAAACAAAGCCATCAATTTCTGTTTTGTGGCAACCAACAGAAGTTCTATTTTTACATCTTTGGATGTGCTGAGTGACTTCATGCCTATGTAGTTCAGGTCACTTAAGTGTCCTAAATTCAGATTATTCTGGCTAGTAATCTATACTTTAAACGCAGATAACATTTATGTTACTTGGAATTTAAAATGGTCTGTTCCTGTATAGTCTTCCAATAAATAACCTTATGCATTATGTTTGATACAGTAATAAGACTGATACTGCACTACTTCTCGCAGATCCATTTCAATTTTTAAAAATAACACATGCACATTCTTGCACATTTTAGGTGTATCACTGTCACTACTCCTGTCCCTGAGATCTTCCAAAGTCCATTAAACTGAGGTATTTAGAAGCTGTCTGGAGGTTCATCTCATAGGCAAAGACCTGGCATTTTATATCAGATTAAAATCCTGCATTATGCCAAAGATCCCACTGCTGTAGTGTTAGGGACTGTTTGCATCCCCACTCCCCTGCCATGCATCTGTTGAAGCTCTAACCTCCAAAGTGATGGGATTTGGAGATGGGGCCTTTGGGAGGTAATGAGGGTTAGATTAGGTCATGATGAACTAGTGGCCTTTCAAGAAGAGGAAGAGCTCTCTCTCTCCGTCTCTCTTCCTCTCCTTAGTGGGCATACACCAGCAAGAGGAGAGGTTGTATGAGAACACAGAAAGAAGAAGCCATCTCTTTAGGAAATGAACCCTGCTGCCATCTTGTTCTTGGACATTACAGCCTCTAGACAGTAAGATAATATCAGGACCTGGCATTGTTTTTTGCTTTATTTTTTTTGAGACAGTGTCACTGTGTTGCCCTCAGTAGAGTGCCTTGGCGTTACAACTCACAGCAACCTCAAACTCCTGGGCTTAAGCGATTCTCTTGCCTCAGCCTCCCAAGTAGTTGGGACTATAGGTGCCCACCACAATGCCTGGCTGTTTTTTACTACAATTGTCATTGTTTAGCAGGTCCTGGCCGGATTCTAACCTGCCAGATCTGGTGTATGTGGCTGGCACCCTAGCTGCTGAGCCCCAGGTGCCGAGCCAGGACCTGTTATTGTTATATAAGAGTTAATGCATGTTGTGAATAGTGTATGACAGACTATAAACATGTAATGAATAGTGTATGGTTGTAGAAATTATCAATTTTAAGTGCTACATTTTTAGCAATAATATATACCAGTGCTGCTCAGCCTTTTAACCCCCTGCTCTATTTTCATAAGCATACAAATCTCATGTTCAAATCTCAAATGTAATTTGACAATGATGTGACAATTATAAAAGTAAAATCAAAATACTATGGAATGCTTGCCTGGTGGTTCTTGTATGTGCTACCTGGGTCCTACTGTTCTGACAATTGCTCTGCATCATTCAACCACGCCTAGAGACAGATGAAAGCATCTGTTCCTTTCGTCTTTGCTAGGATGTAAGCAATTGATGAAGCAAACATAAAAATGTATATGTGGATTTTTGCCTCATTTTTCACGGATTTAATAAAATAATAAAACTTTCCTTTTTAAGAACCTCGTGTCCTTGATTTTCAAAAGCCTTGTAATGATTTTAATCAAATTAATGTAGACACAGTTTTAAAAATCAGAAATTAAAATGAAAATAGAATATCGGTTAGGTTGCATGTTACCTTGATGCCAAAAAATCCAGTTGACTGATTTCACATTTCACTTTTCAATGGTTTTGGCATTGTGTAAATTAGCACAATCCTTAGCTGTACTTTCCCTAATAAGGTATATTTAAAACTATGTACTGTAGTTTCATTGAGCTTAGAAAAAGTAAGCAAACTTACAACCAGAACTGAACCTGAAACTGAAAACCTTAACAAATGCACACTTGGTTTAGTTAAATCACTCCAAAATATCAAAACCTTGTGTTTATTATTTAAATTATTGTTTATCTGTATTATAAACAATGATGCTTAAGGGGTATGGCAATTAGTAAAGTCATACGTACGTTTCTGCCAATGTAAAGATCTGAAATACACCAATACTCCTATTCTTTTGGAGAGTCACTGCCCTTTAGGCAACTGGTGCTGACAACTGGTACTAAATTGGCAACTGGTACTAAATTGTTAGTACTCAATGGGATAAAAACTGCTATCTTAAGCCTACACCCCAGGATCCTAGTCTCTTCAACCTTTCAGTTTCATATGAGATATTCTTAAAGTAAATTAAATCCCCAATGGTGCTAACATGCTAACAATACTGATAACAAGGATTTGATTCAAAATCATGGCTTTGAAATAACTGTTAAAAGATCTTTGATCATCAGAGTGACTTAGTAACACTATGTTTTAAGGCAGGAAAATAAAGTCATTTTGGAACATTTCTTACTAAAGGCTATAGCAGTTTATAATGAACCTTTTGTTACTCAAAAAGTATAATCTGAATATTTTTATTTGTTTTGGATTAATCAAAGATAGACTTAACATTTAAATAACTTGGTAGTGTCTTAAAGTAATGTGTTGACAGGCACTTTTAATTATGTATACAAAATCTCTTTCCTCTGATCCTTCAAAGCACATGATTATAGCTCTTTTATAACAAATATAACATTCTCCCTTATAGTACTGCTATATATATGTATATTTTTTAATTCTTGGGGATTCATTGAGGGTACAAGAAACCAGGTTACACGGACTGCATTTGTTAGGTAAAGTCCCTCTAATAATCATGTCTTGCCCCCAAAAGGCGTGGCACACACCAAGTGTTATTTATATTTTTATCTTTATATCTTCATCTCTATAACATGTTCATTTAGGAGAGGGACTGAGTCTTATTCATAATGGTATTCAGTCTCCTAAAACAGTGCTTTGATGTTTGATTTTAAAACTCATTTGATTTTAGTCACATGTTCAACATTATGAACATGATCAATTTCATTTTTAAGACACAAAATTTGGCTTTATATCATTATCTTTACAGATGTCTTTTAAAATAAAAATAATTGATTCAGAGGGCAAATGAAATTTGATTTTTCTCAAAATAGTTATGATTACAAAAACATTTGATATATGAATCAAGTGCAAAAAACAGCTTGCTATGCTCTTTGTTACATGAAAATGATGCTTCTAGCTTTATTCAAAAAAGCATTGCAAGAAGCTAAGGTGAAAACTTGATTTCTCATTCTGAATTATATCTCTCACAAAAGAGGCATTTAACAATTGCTCTTTGTACTAAAATATACTTAACATTAAAATAAACTTTCTTGGAGTATGTGGCAAATGTCAAGTCAACAGAAATCTAACATTAATGATGTATTTGAAGAGCAATCTAATACACACTGTAAAACCCCTTAATTAATAAGGAGTGGCTTTTCTGCTGAGATTGTGTTATAAAACTCACAAATAGGATGGCATCTACCATAATTTTAAATAAATGATATTTCACACTCTTATATTAATATTTGAAATGGTTAAAGTTTATTATCATTATATTTCCCAAGTAAATTTTGTTAAGCCTCACCTTCTAAATATGGTAAAGCATATCCACTAGTATTAACTGACATTATGTTGCAATAAATTAATTGTAACTTACAATTAAGTTCAATTAATATTAGAGGGTGTGCTTTACCATATTCCAATGATTACTTAATAATTTATTGAACACTGATGTACTTAAGGCTGAATCCTAACTTTGTATCTGTATGTACAGATACAAAGCATCTTTTTGAAAGCCAGATCAATGTCAAGTTTCAAAACTAATCTAGTAGAAAAGGATGATGCAAAGGCTATATACTGCAATATAGGTAATAAACCACAACCATATATAACATATTAAGTGAACGCTGTTACCATTATACTTAGATATGAAGAAATTATGCACAGTGAGTTCTCTTGGCTATTTTTTTTTTTTT